ACTTCATAGGAGTCTGATCTCACACGCTTCCCTTTTCAATCTCACAGCAATGTGGCTAGAAATTGCTTCACCGACACCAGCAATGTTAACATTGGAATGTAATGAATCCTTTCTCTCTTCTGTTGTTTTCGCTTACTTTATAAAATAGCATGTTCCGTCCATTGAAAAACAGGAACGAATGCCTCGATGCCATTAACGGCAGTCCAGACGACCCAGCACCAGCTCCTAATCCACCCTCTCCTCCCGCAACGCCATCCGACAACCCATCCTCACCGCCATCAAATCCAGGTCAGCCACCAAACGACAGCAACCCGCAGAACCCGACACCATCCAATTCCCCTCCAGGATCCCCAAATGGCGATCCCCAATCTCCCAATAATCCTGCATCACCCCAATCTCCCATCTCGCCCAATGCACCGCAAAGCAGCAATGGCTCGATCACTACACGTCCCGCGGGGGCGACTAATGCCACCATCTTTATCGATGCCACAAGAACAGTCATTGTCGATGCCAGTGGCAACACTATCGAAGCAAGGCCGACTGGAGGAGAGAGTTCTTCCGGTTCTGCTGGAGCCAGCAACCCTCCTGTTTTGATCATCGGGATCATGGTGGCTGTTATCGTTTTTGTTCTCGGGGTTGCTTTTGGGCTTTTCATGTTCAGATGGTATCGACGTTCTCGCGAACGAGAGTTCCGATCCATGGAAGAATTGGTGAGTTGTAACTTTTTCTTTCTCCTTCACCATTATCTAGAAAAAACTAAAACAAATGTTTTCTTCTATTCAAAAGTCCCAAACACAACCCCATTTCTATTCCACCGATCGTTCTTTACCTGCAAACTTGACGGTTCCGCCCGCAGCCTACAGCGAAAAGGCAGCCTACATCCCCGACACTCTTCAGCGATCCGCACTAGCACAAGGGACGCTGACATCTGCAGCCTCGGTCGGCGTCGTAAATGTGGCCATGTCAAAGCAGATTGAAGCCTACGGCAATTCACCTGAAGCCATCGACCACACCCTGGATGTTGCTCCAAGCTTTGTATCATGGAATGTTGCGGACGTGGAGGTTCGTTGTTGTCTTTTCGTTTGCCTTTTCCATTACAATACGACCGTTTTTGCTGATGGTTTTATGTTTTTGCAGTCTTGGCTGTTGACGACGATGGCTGCCAGTCCGGAGGTTTTGAACGCGTTCGTGTTCCATGGGATCAATGGGAGTGATTTATACACCATCACGGATGATCGATTAACACAGATGGGTGTGGGTCCGGCCATCATCAGAGGATACATTCTAAAAGGACGCGATGATCTGATCCGTCGCCATCCTTAGTTTATTTCTTACACTGACTACTCACCAAATCCACCAATAATTCTAATAATACTGAAATCACATCAAAGATGAAAGCAGATGATTATTTCCCCCTGTCCCCAGCAGCTTTGAAGGGATATTGTTGCCAGAAATGGGAGTTTTTTCCCTGTGCACAGATGCCAAAAACGACGTGTCCGACAGCCCTGAAAGAAATTTCCTCGGTCGCACCGCAGCAGGCAGAGCCATGCATCACCATCACAGAAAAAGCCAAAAGTACGGATCTCCAGAACTCTTCACCCCATCGAAATGGAAGACTGCAACAATGTGAAGCTGGCATTGCCGATCCTCCGCATCGAAGGCAATTGCTGCAACAATGAACGCATCGAATGCAACATCAACCGTCGGATCATCGGGTTGGATCTGCAAAGGACACCGTTGTCCAGCATTCCAGCAGAGCTTGTTAAACTGACGGAACTCGAGAGCTTGGTGAGATAAGCATAACCCAATGCTTTTTGTCGTCGCTGACTCTTTTTTCGTTTCCTTTTCAACAGAATCTGTCGGGGAACTTGCTGGAACAGCCATCGTTTTCATTCCTTCGCTATCTGCAGAAGCTGAAAGTGCTGATTGTAAGCGTATATCGTTCTGCCGGTGGTCTTTTTTGCTAAACAGTATGAATACGCTAGCTGTCTGCAAATAGATTTAATTTGGTGGAGATTCCAGATTGGATACGAACGTTGACCAACCTCGAAGTTTTAGGTACTTGACAGGACGGCATCTTCTCGGCCGCACACGAAATGCCATCTAACCTTGACCAACACGCAGATCTCTCAAGCAACTCGTTCGTGGCGCCGGTATCTGGCAAGTTTGTGGGACTAAACAAACTCAAATCTTTGGAGTAAGAATCCTTTAATTATCACCTCTGACCAAAACACGACTTTTCCAGTCTATCCTCAAATAGCTTTGACACCATGATGATTGACCCACAATCCCTACCCCCCACCATCGAGTATGTCAACTTGGATGGGAACATGTTCCACGGCAAGGTTCCCGATTTCAGTAGTCTTCCTCTTTTGCAGAATCTGTAAGCAATGCTTTCCTCTCTTGAACGACAGCTTACCTTTGGGCTTTCAGACGAATCTCAAACAATTGCTTTACCAAATCGGACCTAGCAGGACCTTTGACTCAAAATATGTATGGTTTGCTTGCTCTCGTTGCTGTCATGGTTACCTAACAAAAACGCACAGCATCGTCTATCCTCAGAAAAAAGAAAACGAGTGCCCACTTCGATCTCCTTTACCGGATCCATCCAACTTTCCGACCCTCCCTTCACCTTCACCGTTTCCGCCGTCGATCCCTTCCGTTCCTTCTCAAAATCCCCAGCCTACCCAACCTGCTACCGCTCTCCCCGCAGGACTTTCCGTTGTTCTGCCGTCCATGTCAAGCAACGATTCTGGTCCCACGCGAAACTTTCAGATCCCGGCCAGGTAGATTTGCCTTTCTATTTTCTCCCTCGCGGTGATCCACTCATAACCATTTATCAAACAGCTCTCCAGTCACGGATGTCCCGAATGCGACGTTCGGAATCGAAGCGACACCGGGGATGACAGTGCCTAACGTGGATCAAGCTTCTTCGAGCAGCGGAGGGTCATCGGGAAACACGCTGTCACCTTACTCAACGGCCTTGATCTCCATCACGGTAGTCGCAGCAGTGGTGTTTTTAACGGTGGGATTTTCCGTTTATTTTGTCAGAAAGTACAAGCAAGGACGGGTACCGACCCCGACACCTGTAGAGCCTGTGAGTTTTTCTTTTTTTGAGTTGTCTTTGTTGCTATTGCTTTTTTCTCTAACCATCCAAACCAATCACCTTAGCCTTTACCGAGACCACCTCAAGACCAAGAATCTGCTCCTCACATGGCACCCGTGAACTCTATCCTATCCGCACCACCCGCCCTCACATCCTTGTCTGGATCTCTGCGCCGCCCAACACCCTTTACACCACCCCGAACTTTGGAAAGAAAAACAGGAACGCTCCAAAGACAAATGGGTCAGCTTTCCACACCATCCCCCATGAACAGCAGCAATTACGACAATTCCCCTGCTTTCACGTTATCCCCGGCAACGCTTCCATCGGGGTCAAGTTTTGCTCCCTCAAGACCTCAGCTTGTGAATTCAATTGCGCTTTCCGCTTCTTCTGTAGATTCCGAGGATGAGATTGGTTCACCCATCCCAAACTTTATGACTTGGGGGCTGTCGGATGTGGAGGTAAGATGCACTTTCTTTCTTTCTCTATTTTTCCTTTCCTTTCCTTTACTTTGCAAAAAACTCACCAAAAACCAGTCGTGGTTGCTGACAAGCATGGCAGCAAGTCGAGACATTCTGGACGCGTTCATGTTCCATGGCATCACCGGCAAGGATCTTTTTACTATCACTGATGCCAGGCTTGTTGAGATGGGAGTGGAGCCTGAAATCATGCGCGGTTATATTTTGAAGGGAAGGGATGAGCTCGTTCGGCGGCATTTCTGAGGTTGCGAGGAGGAAACAAAATATAATAAAAATAAAGCTGTGGACGTTGACGACTAAATCCTCAGCAGCTAAATAGCACACCGTGATGCTCCATGTCGTTATCATTCATTGCTCCAACTTTCGTTTTTCATATCTTGAGATCATACCTTTAATTCTATCATTGCTAAGAAAATCAAAGTCTCTGTAACGCTGTGAGCCTGGCGGCCCACGCCAAGACCGATGGCCGAGTCCGATAGAAGATGTTTCGCTTGGATGGAAGAAAAGTGAACTCTCTATTGTCCTTCGGCGCGGCCTTGGATGAACGTTTGGTGCAAAGCAATCATCCGCGAAAATCAAGACAAACATTGCGCTGGCAGTGCAGCGAGTTGCATTCTTTGATGGCGCTGATAAAAATGCAAGCCGTTATCAAGCCTAAACATTACATTTCTCTTATGCGCAGAGAAACGCGACAAGACGTTCAATGTCTTGGTGCATGGTCCGAAGGTCAAAACACTCTGCGTGATGGAAAGATAAGAAGAATAGCGAGAGATGCTAGAAATGATGTGTATTCAATGACAAAGAGAAAGAAGGTAATCAGATAAGATAATGTGAACGTAAGTAAGTGGATCTCTGCGAGGAGCCTTATATAGGCACGTCGCGACACAGAGAGAAGCACAGAAGAGAAGAGAAACACAGATAAGACTCATAAGAGTGAGAACACAGAGAGAAGTAAGGCACAGTAATAATAGCAGTAGCTAGAACAAAATATGATAGCGAATTCACAGAAATAAAAGTAATGATGAAAGGAAAGAGAAGGCGTGCACGGCAGGAACATAACGGAGAATTCCGTGACATTCCATGTAACGGAATAGTTGTCTATGAGTGAGGCACGAATAGCCTACTAGGCCTAGAACTCACGAACACTGTCCAGAAGGAAAAGAAGAAGGGAAGACGAGATATAATGGGAAATATATGGAGAAGAGAAGAGAGGAGAGAAGATATCTGATATGTGTCCCATGATGGATGGAGTCAAGAAAGGAGCCTTATATAGGCGACGTGATGACAAAGTGAGAAGCAGTCAAGAATTGCAAAACATGAAGGAAAAACAACACTGCTAGCAAAGTCAATAAGGCAAAATGGCAAAGATGAACGGCAGGAACATAACGGATAATGCCGCCACATTTCATCGAATACGTTCTCGTGTAGCTCAGTTGGTAGAGCGTGGATCTTATGTGTCCCTATCGGACGCACGCGAGTCCAAGCGCGTCGGTTCGATCCCGACCTCGAGAATTCTCAGTTGAGATTTTTTTTTCAAATCAAATTTGATGCAAACTTTCTGCTCGCTTCAAAAACATCTTTGCAACAACGCGTCTTGGAGTGGATCTTACCGAAAAATCCAAATCTGTCTGGCTTCACCGTCTCCAGCACGAGCACCGCCCCATCGTGCGTGAGGCTTGCACCCCACCTTCACACAAGAGCAGGTTGATGACTTTCCACCGTCTCCATGCACCTCCCCAGATTGTGCAGCAAGCTATGGATCAAGCAACCTTGGCAACAACTGAATATGACCTCGTATACGCCACCCATTTCACTAGAGGCCCAATCAATGCACTCCGCCGACAACTGTACAATCTTGGCATCCGCATTGGTTTCATTGCTAATATCAGATTCATTGGAGCTGCCATGGCCGAATTTGTTGTTGCGAGACCATACACAAACCAGTTCCGCCATCAGTTGGGGGAGTTGCAATTTGAGGTCGTTGAATATGACTTGACGGCACTACCAGCATCCCTTCCCTCATCAGACAGTGGAGAGCTCCTTCGCATCAATTGTTCGACGTATGCACCAAACCATGACATCAGTCCCGGTGGATGGTGTTCGTACTCTGTTCAACTCTCTTATAGAGCGCATCACCACCACTCACCCAACCATTGACGGTTTGGTTCGAAACCTGGTGGCTCCTCAATCAACTGAGCCTCGTGATCCCCACAGAGGTTCCTCAAGCACCAACCCCAATGGACGCCCCAGCCCAATATCAACAGCAGCAAACTCTGCAACGACTCGGAATCGCCCTCCCTCACCTCCTGGCGATGTTGCCCATCCATCCTCCCCCAATAGCACACCAGCAAGACGACGCCATCAACCATCCACCTCCGTAATGCCAACAACAATCGCAGCCGCCATGGATGTTGAGGAATCGGAGGAGGAACCTCTCCCTCGCCGCAGATCCACTCGCAGAGTCACATCCTCCTCAACATCAGGAGCCAACACACCAACATCTCGTACAGATACAGCTGCAGGCCGGCCAGGAGGTCCGGCAAATCATTGTGTCGACACTTCGGATTTTGATCTGCAACACCCGCGGCTGCAATAAGCGGGATATCTTCCGTCGATTGATTCCCCCATTTGACGTAATTGTTGTTGCGGAGACGTGGTACTATGCTGTTTCTGTTTGGTCTCGTAGTCCTTTGTTTCTTTGTCATTCTCTTCCTATTCCTTTGGCACTACGCGCACAACGTGGTAGCCATGGCCTTATGGTCATGGTGAATCCTGCACTGCGTACATTTATTTCTAACGTTGTTTCTACAGAGTTTACCAAATCATTCAGTTTCTTTTCGGAAGTTTTCACATTTTGTTACCTCCCTCCTTCCCTCTTACCGCCTGATATTTCTAACCTTCTGCCAGCTCACCCAGATACTAGCCTATTCTGCGGTGATCTCAACATCAGCCGCTATCCTGACGCCTTTGATGGCGCAAGGGCTGCTGATTCCCATCGACTAACTTCTATGCATCACTTCAACGCGGCTAACTCGCTTCTTCCAGTTCATCCCACTAACCACCTCACAAATCCGGCGCATCTCTGTTACCTCTTTGCGCACAGCTCTTTCCGCATCAACATTTCGTGGAATAAGGTTGATGCTCCTGTCTCCACCAACCACCAGGCCCATCACCGTCAAGTTTTCCACTACCCCTCCTCCCCTCCCACAACCGCCACATCCCTCTCCCGTTACAGAACATCATACCTCAATGATCCACATACCCGCCAATACTTTTGCAACACCTACTAGCGCCGTATCCTCCCTCATATGGCCTCACCTCCTATCCATCACCTCCAATCCAGCGATCTTGATTTGGTTATGGGTGATCGCCTGCAAACTCAGACTTTTCTCGACTCCACATACGACATCCTCCTCCGCACTCTCAGCAAAGCAGCAACTATCACTCTCTCCAAATACGACCCGTCCACCGTGCAACGACAGGAGGACCGTTTTGTCCTTTATCCTCCACCAACCGAAGACCTCAGTGTTGCTCTCCGCCTCTTCAATAGGGCGCATCGCCCAACACGACGCGCACTGAAGGTCGACCCTACCCTCGAACCCCAACCTCATCCCATCAACACTGTCCTCGACCACTTCGCCAATGTCTTCTCCACCCCTCCACCTCACATCGAGCCCACCCGACCACCACCTCTCCTCCAACGAAAACTCAGCAAACTTTGTCACCACCTGGCACTCAACGAAATCCGTCGCCCGGCCCATCCAAAAATACCCAGCTGGAAAGAGCCCTGGCCTTGACGGGATCACCAAACCCATCCTCAGTTCTTTCCTCAAATCAGACTTCCTTGAGCATCTTGTCCATTTCTATCAACTCTGCACCATTTTCGGACTGACACCCCGTCAATGGAATCAGTCAATCGCAAATCTTTTACCAAAACCTCCTCAACCCTTTTTCTCAACCAACTCTCGACCAATCTCCCTCACCCCTCTCCTTCGTCGCATTTTTGAAAAAAATCATATTAACATCTCTTCCTCTGCCCACTCTCAAATTTCAACAATGGCCAAGCTGGCTTCCGCCATCGACGCCAGGCTTTGCATCACGTCGCCTACCTTCACGAACACCTTTGCCGAGGTCGTCACTCAGCTACCTTCTTGGACCTTTGGTAAGCCTACGACCAGAGATCCAATAATTGCAACAACAAAAAAAAATTAATAATAATAAAAAAAGATAAAATAAAATAAAATAAAATAAATATGGTGGGTGATACATGATGGGACCACAAACCCATTCCCAAAACGTCATGTCAAGACATCAATCAAAAATCAAGCCTTCTTTCGACTCTCTGTGCGAGCGCCGTTGTCGTCTATCTCCTCCATCCATCCATCCATCCATCCATCCATCCGTCCATCCGTCCGTCAACTCCACAGCATCAACAGCATCGACATCTACTTCACACACACACA